CTGTTGTGAAGGGTGTTTTCTTCACCAGGGAAAGAATTCTTCGGTCATCCACCACAGTTGTTTTCCGTGGTCTTCCGGGTCTTTTGGTGTTGCTGAGCTCACAGGTGCGTTCCTTCTTTTTAAGAATGTTCCAAACAGTTGTTTTGGCAACACCTAATGTTTTTGCTATCTCTCTGATGGGTTTGTTTTTTGTTTTTTTTCAGCCTAATGATGGCTTGCTTACTGATAGTGACAGCTCTTTGGATCTCATCTTGAGAGTTGACAGCAACAGATTCCAAATGCAAATAGCACACTTGAAATGAACTCTGGACCTTTTATCTGCTCTTTGTAATTGGGATAATGAGGGAATAACACACACCTGGCCATGGAACAGCTGAGAAGCCAATTGTCCCATTACTTTTGGTCCCTTAACAAGTGGGAGGCACATATGCAAACTGTTGTAATTCCTACACCGTTCACCTGATTTGGATGTAAATACCCTCAAATTAAAGCTTACAGTCTGCAGTTAAAGCACATGTTGTTCATTTAATTTCAAATCCATTGTGGTGGTGTATAGAGCCAAAAATGTTAGAATTGTGTCGATGTCCCAATATGTATGGACCTGACTGTAGATAGATGTGTCCATGCACACTACTTTAGGCTATTAACATTTTTTTTGAGTTTCAGAGTCTAGGAGCAGAAAAAAAAAAATGTTTTTTTAGTAGTTTTTTTGAGCGTTTTTCCTGCAGAAAAAGACACTAAAAGCTCCTAAGGCTTGGTTCAAGTCTCTGCAGGTGGTACTACTGCGGGACCCGCACAAATACCTGCAGCTACTTCACCTACACAGAGGAATGCGGACCCATGGGCGGGTGCCATTAATTCTAATAGCATGCTGCCCGTACTGGAAATCATAACCGTACTGGGAACCTCGGTTCCCGTGAGAGCTGCGATTCCCAATGAAGTGCAAGGACTTTTTCCCTGCATATCCCGGAGCACGGGAGTCTATTCAAATGAATGGGCTCTTGTGCCCACACAAATCGTGGCCCAGATGTGAACCTTGCCTAAATGCTGCTAATGCAGGCCATAGATGGGGAGAAAACCGGACGGTTTTTTTAACAAAAAAATGAAAAATCGGTCGTTCAATAGGCGACGTTACCACCAACAGTGAAAAAAATCGGCCCGCTTTTCTTCCCGCCTACGGCCGGCATTTAATTACTTCTGTCCCTGCAGAGAGCCCCACTATTATATTTGACATTAAGAAGTATTGCGGTTGCAATATTGTATCTATTTGTATCCATTTCGGATACAGATGTTTTTCCGGATACAAATAGATACATTGTTGCAACCACAATACTTTTTAATGTCAAATATAATAGCAGACTGGAATTCTTCTTCTTTCTCCTCTTCTTCTTTCTCCTCTTCTTCTTTCTCTACTTCTTCTTCTTTCTCTTCTTCTACATCTTTCTCTTCTTTCTTCTTCTTCTTTCTCTTCCTCCTCTTTCTCTTCCTCCTTTTTCTCTTCCTCCTCTTCTTTCTCTTCTTCTTCTTTCTCTTCGTTCTTCTTCTTCTTCTTCCTCTTCTTCTTCTTGCAGGTCACGGCTCATGCGCAGATTTTTTATCGGTAAAAAGATTGGCCGATTTGCCCATCATAGCCGTGAAAATCGCCCGATCGGCAAAATCAACCGATTGTTTTCCAACTTTACTGATCAAAAAAAATCTGACAAAATCCAGAAAAACGGCCGACCCGATATCCGACCCAATTAACCCATTAACGGTGCGAAAATCGGCCGATTTTTTTTTTCGGACGAAAAATCGGCCAATTTTCGACCCATCTATGGCCTGCACAAAACGCTCCCAACAGCTTTTTTCTTGATTTTTTTCCCTTTACATATACTGTAAAACACTAACGCTCCTAAACGCTTCTGAACACTACTATACACGCTATACGGCTCCATGCACACTAGCGTGTTTTAAGCTCCAGAAGCTTCTATCAGCATGTTTTCTGCTCCTAGAAGCTAAATAATGTCTCCGCCACCCCCCGCTGCCAATCCCTCCACTGGCTTCCGATTGCCCAACGGATAAAATTCAAAACGCTAACATTGACGTACAAAGCTGTTCATAACACTGCCCCAAACTACATCACCGACCTGATATCCAAATACCACCCAAAACGTACTCTCCACTCCTCACAAGACCTCCTACTCTCTAGTTCCCTGGTCTCCTCCTCCCATGCCCGTCTCCAGGACTTCTCCAGGGCTTCCCCCATCCTCTGGAACTCCCTACCCCAATCCATCAGACTATCACCTACTCTCCTCACCTTTAGGCGCACCCTGAAAACCCATCTCTTCAGGGAAGCCTACCCCACCCCTGCTAATTGCCGATCTCCTCCACTCCATCCCCCACAGCTATCTCCTCCTGTACCACTCTCCCCTCCCTCCTAGATTGTACGCTCCAAGGAACAGGGCCCTCGAACCCCTCGTGTATTGTATTGTTACTGTACTGTCTCGTGTACTGTCTCCCATTATAATGTACAGCGCTGAGCAAACCGTTAGAGCTATATAAATACTGTATAATAATAACAATAATGACTCCTGCGCATACGCATGTCTTTTCTGCAATAAAGAGCTTGCCTGCTCACAGCCTTTAAAAATACTGCTGGTTCTGCTGTAACCAGTTACCGACTGACTGTAGCCAAAAGACGCATGGCACGCATCAGGCACTCTCTATGATCGCTGTGTCCTTTGGACACAGCTTATCACAGATTAAGGTAAAGGGCTAATCACAGTGACCCTTTACCATGTGATCAGCTGTGTTCAATCTCAGCTGATACATGTAAACAAAATGCCTGTTATCAGCATTTCTTTTCCTCACTGCTCTTACTGTGTGAAGAAAGAGCCGATAGGCTCGATCCTGTCACAGGGCATAACAGGGCTATGATACGCTGATATTCATCAGTGAATCCCATCACTGCCCATCGGTGCAGCTTATTAGTGTCCATCTGTGCAGCCTCATCAGTGCCTCCTCATCAGTGCAGCTTATTAGTGCCCATCAGTGCTGCCTCATCAGTGCAGAAAAACTACTTATTTTGCAAAATTTTATAAGAAAAACGTTTTGGTATTTTTTCAAAATTTTGCTCTTTTTTTCACCAAAAGAAAGCTTTATCTTACTCAAAACATGATTAACAATTTCAAAATGGGTACAGTGTAGCATGACCACGCAATTGTCATTTAAAGTGCAACAGCGCTGAAAGCTGAAAATTAGTTTGGACAGGAAGGGTGTCAATGTGCCCAGTAGACAAGTTGTTAACAGGGCTATGACCTGCTTTTGACATATGTAAAGGCCTGTGATCTAAATAGCGGCATTCATCCTTTTGCTGCGAAACATATGAGATATGAAATCTTGCTTGAAAAATCCTTCCAATTTATAAGAAATCCTCTTTATCTCTACTTAATGCTCTCAATCCTTCAACCCAATCAGTAATAGCAAGAAAGGTCTGCCCGTATATTGCCAGTAACATGCTGGTGACAGTCATACAATGGTAACAGGAGCTGTAATATACAAATAGACATCCTGTGTTTGCCCAGTGTCTAAGCAATGCAATGAAATGCTACACTACACTTGCCTGGCATACACATAAAGTTAGTGCTCATTAACCTCCATGTAAAAACAAAGAAGTGGCAGATACAGTGGACCAGCTTTATAACTTCACACTCATTTCCACAGATGAAGTTACCTATGGAGTGTATCTGCAACCTCTCTGTTCTTACATGCTGTTAGAAGTAAACAAAGTTAATTTTTGGACGCAGCATTTCTTGAGACATTCTGAGCATTGATTCAGCATCTCCACTATGGATTCTTAGCAAAAGTGATTTTCGTTTTTGTGTAACTTGGGTAGTCATACAATCATTTCTGGCAGGGAAACAAAGGGTGAAACATCTAGATATATAGACTAAATTAAAAAAGGTTGTTAAATCCAGTGCCACTTTCATGTTGATATTTTGTTTCATATAGTCTAGCATAGAAATAAATCCTTTCCCACACATTAAAAAAATAGTTTTGGCTACACTTTAAACACTATCAGATTATTCTAATTTAGATACTTTGCGGATTAGACTGTATTTTGCAGATTTCTGATAAATGGCCATATGTGTTTAATTGCAGTACAAGAACAGGGTCCTACTCTACGGTGGAAAAGTCGCTTGTGATTGTGAACCAAGGAAACTTTTTGTTGAATCTGAATGAGGAATACACTGCATGGGAGGATCAAGGATCACTGAATTAAATGCCTCTCAGCAGAACTATTGATCTTTGCTCCAAATCATTACACTTGCTGATCACTGTCACTTTGTTTCTCTTGGCGGATTGCAGTCTGAAGTCGGTTTAGTCAAGTGTTCCTCAGGGCTCAATCCTGGGTTCCCTACTTTTTAGCAGGGCCCTCGATCCCCTCGTGTATTGAATTGTATTGTTATTGTACTGTCTCCCATTGTAATGTACAGTGCTGAACAAGCTGTTGGCGCTATAGAAATACTGTATAGTAATAATAATGTCCTCCTATGTGTCCATGCACACTACTTTAGGCTATTAGCATTTTTTGAGCTTCAGCGTCTAAGAGCAGAAAAAATATTGTTTTTGTAGAGTTTTTTTTTGTAGTGTTTTCCCAGCAGCTCCTAAACGCCGTTATTACCGCTGGTGTGCACAGAGCATGACGAACATAAACACATAAGATCCATCTGTAATCCTTCCTATAACCTGCACAGTACAGCCCACACAGGAGCTCTCCTCCCATACACTGCTCTACAATCACACCACAGCTTGCCGACAGGCAGCGGAACTGATGTTTTGCAGCAGTGACGGGATAAAGTGTCTGACCCGCCCTTCCCCCAAATACCCCGCCCCCATCAGCTGTGGCCGCCATTTTTCCGGAGTCCAGAGCTGTCTGTAGAATGGCGCTGTCCTATCTGCCCCGTGTGGAGCAGTTATCCTCTCGGGTGATCCGGGTGTTGGGGTGTAACCCGGGCTCCATGACCCTGCAGGGCACCAACACCTACCTGGTTGGCACTGGGCAGAGGTAAACTGAGATGTGTGATGAAGAGAGCGCCCCTAGCGGATACATTGTGCAATACATGACTCAGTATAGGACAGGAAGCTGTGATCAGCTGTGTGTGGGAATACAAGTCCCAGCATGGCTGGAGGAGAGGTCCTTGTAGCTGGAATGTGCATCCAAAATGTGAGAGCCAATGTAAGATCAGGGTATGTATATTGCCTCCACCACTGGGCTTGTTGTAAGATGGTGTACATAAGGGGAGAGGGCAAGTGTACTGTAGTTGTACAGGGTAGTGCATTCTACAGGAGTGTGCACTGTATACAGGGGAAGTAGTGTATAGGAGGGAAGTAATGTACAGGGGGGTGCAGTGTATGGGGGGAGGATACAGGAGAGTGCAGTGTACAGAGGGGAAGTAGGTTGGGGGGTCTGCTGTGTATAGGAGAGTGCTGTGCATGGGGGGAGTAGTTTACAGGGAGGGAGTGGTGCAGTGTATAGGGGGTAAGTAGTTTACAGGAGGGGGGGTAGTGGTTAGGGGTGCAGTCTATAAGGGGAAGTAGTTTCGGGGGGTGCAGTGTATAGGAGGGAAGTCATGTACAGGGGGGAGGTAGTGTATAGGGCGGAAGTAATGAACAGGGGGTGCAGTGTATAGGGTGGAAATAGTGTACAGGGGGTGCAGTGTATAGGGTGGAAGTAGTGTACAGGGGGTGCAGTGTATAGGGTGGAAGTAATGTACAGGGTGGAAGTAGTGTACAGGGGGTGCAGTGTATAGGGTGGAAGTAGTGTACAGGGGGTGCAGTGTATAGGGTGGAAGTAGTGTACAGGGGGTGCAGTGTATAGGGTGGAAGTAGTGTGCAGGGGGAGTGCAGTGTATAGGGTGGAAGTAGTGTACAGGGGGTGCAGTGTATAGGGTGGAAGTAGTGTACAGGGGGTGCAGTGTATAGGGTGGAAGTAGTGTACAGGGGGTGCAGTGTATAGGGTGGAAGTAGTGTACAGGGGAGTGCAGTGTATAGGGTGGAAGTAGTGTTCAGGGGATGCAGTGTATAGGGTGGAAGTAGTGTACAGGGGGTGCAGTGTATAGGGTGGAAGTAGTGTACAGGGGGTGCAGTGTATAGGGTGGAAGTAATGTACAGGGGGTGCAGTGTATAGGGTGGAAGTAATGTACAGGGGGTGCAGTGTATAGGGTGGAAGTAGTGTACAGGGGGTGCAGTGTATAGGGTGGAAGTAATGTACAGGGGGTGCAGTGTATAGGGTGGAAGTAGTGTACAGGGGGTGCAGTGTATAGGGTGTGGAAGTAATGTACAGGGGGGAAGTAGTGTACAGGGGGTGCAGTGTATAGGGTGGAAGTAATGTACGGGGGGTGCAGTGTATAGGGAGGAAGTAATGTACAGGGGGGTGCAGTGTATAGGGTGGAAGTAGTGTACAGGGGGTGCAGTGTATAGGGTGGAAATAGTGTACAGGGGGTGCAGTGTATAGGGTGGAAGTAATGTACAGGGGGTGCAGTGTATAGGGAGGAAGTAATGTACAGGGGGTGCAGTGTATAGGGTGGAAGTAATGTACAGGGTGTGCAGTGTATAGGGGGGAAATAGTGTACAGGGGGGAAGTGTTGTACATGGAGGTGCAGTGTATAGGGGGGTGCAGTGTATAGGGGTCGAAGTGGTGTACAGGGGGGTGCAGTGTATAAGGGGAAAGTAGTGTAAAGGGTCGTGCAGTGTATGGGGGGGAGTAGTGTACAGGTGGGTGCAGTGTATAGAGGGAGAAGTAGTGTACAGGGGGGTGCAGTGTATAGGGGGAGAAGTAGTTTACAGGGGGGTGCAATGTATAGGGGGGGAAGTAGTGTACAGGGGAGTGCAGTGTATAGGGGGGAAGTATTGTACAGGGGAGTGCAGTGTATCGGGGGGGAAGTAGTGTACAGGGGAGTGCAGTATATAGGGGGGGGGAAGTAGTGTACAGGGGAGTGCAGTATATGGGGGGAAGTAGTGTACAGGGGAGTGCAGTACATAGGGGGGAAGTAGTGTACAGGGGAGTGCAGTATATAGGGGGGGAAGTAGTGTACAGGGTGGTGCAGTATATAGTGGGGAAGTAGTGTACAGGAGGGTGCAGTATATAGGGGGGAAGTAGTGTACAGGAGGGTGCAGTGTATAGGGGAAAGTAGTTTTATAGGGGGGAGAGTAGTTTACAGGGGGTGCAGTGTATAGGGGGGAAGTAGTTTACAGGGGGTGCAGTGTATAGGGGGGAAGTAATGTACAGAGGGGTGCATCGTATCGTATAGAGGGGAAGTAGTGTATATGAGGTGCAGTGTATAGGAGGAAGTAGTGTGCAGGGATGCAGTTTACATGGGGGTGCAATGTACTTTGCTGTCCAAATCAGTGTATGAAGCACTTCCCGTGAATGAACACTAGACTGAATCTTATGGAGCAGTGTAAACTACAAGCCTTTTGCTACTGATACGTGAAGCAATTTGAGACACTTGCAGCCAGCTTATGATGTGTACATTGACTGAACAGATCAGTGCAATGTACTGCCAACAGTTCTGATTGAAACTGAAAGAACTGAAACAGTTGGTCATAGATTGACTCCTCAAGTTAGCAATTTTTGACAGCTGGTTGAATTAGTTACTGCATATCATCGCAGTGTACTACATTGCACAGAGCTGAATGAAATGTCATTTTGTTACATTTCAATAAAGTTATAAAAAAAAGTAAACAGTGCAATGAGTTGTCACATCTCACCCCAGGCAGCACACACAAGTGTGCATGTGTTAGAGTGTGTAGGCTGGTGTGAGCGCACATTCAATACCCCTTAACATACTGTCTATCTTTTTGTTTGTTTAGAAGAATACTCATAGATACAGGAGAGCCTTCTGTTCCAGAATATATCAGCAATTTGAAGCAAGTACTTAATAAATCCAGCATGGCAATCCAGGAAATAATCGTGACTCACTGGCATCATGACCATTCTGGTGGTATATAACAGATATATGCCGAGATATCATAAATGGTAGGTACACAGTCTTTCCCAGCCCAAAATATTTTGAGTGGCAAGGGGTTAGAACTTCTGGCAGGTCCTTATTGCTGTAAAACCATGAGTAGTCATCAGAAGAGGAAGTGAGGGGAAATTTACTAATGGAGGGCAGCTATCTAAGGCACATTACTTCCTAGTGTGTCTACAGAACAGGAAATTAAGAGAAATCTCACTAATGGTCACAGATGGGAAAAAAAAAAAACTGATTTTGAATTATTCTCTATATTCTATCCAAATCTAAAAAAAAAAAAAAAGTGATAGTTTGGCTTTAAAGTGATTGAAAAGGTAGATTTTTTAAAAATTAAAATAATAAACACTGTATACTTATCTCTTCTGTGCAAGGGTTTTGTACAGAGCGGCCCTGAGCCCCCTCTTCTAGGGTCCCCCACCAATGCTCTTGGCTTCACCTTCTGAGTGCCCTCATAGCAAGCCTCTTCCTATGGGGGCATTTGTGCAGGCTCAATCCCAGGCTGGGCTGTGTGTGTTTATTGACACACACAGTGGGACTCGGTCCCGTCCCCCACTCCCTCCTCACTGGCAGTTATTGAAAGAAGTAGGTGCCAATGGCTGTCATTGCTATCTTTGAGCCTGTGATGAGAGAGAGACCAGTTCTGAATCAAGATCAGGCTCAGGTAAGTATTTGGGGGGGGGGGGGGTCTGAACATGGAAGGTTTTTTACCTTAATGCAGAGAATGCATTACCCCTTCTTAATGCTGCGTCCCAGCCCTTTAAGAGGTTCGAAGGTTGGCAGTGGCAGCACTCACATGATCAGAAAGCTGCAGATCGCAAGTGGCCATTGTACCCACCTTTAACCGTGCTGGGTGCACGCTGTCCACACAGAAATGTTTACATTTGGGATTTATATATGCGGCCTCATGGTGTTAAAGCCCACCCGAGAGGCCACATATATGCGTATGGCAAGCTTATGCCCCTTTTGTTAATTAGGAGCAGCATCTGCTCCATTTTTTATGTTTAGAAGAGTGGTGCAAGACTGTACATGCACCACTCTATGTTAAATTCCCCTATAAGTCTTATCTGCTACCACGGCAAAGAGACTCGTAGATCTCAATGAAGCCTAAGTGTGGTGACAATGGTACACTGGTAGTCCATTGATTATTTCATCCAGCCCAATAACCAAATGCCTGTTCCTCGGTACAGACCTTGGGCTGGAGGAGTTAATAAAGTAAATTTTCCTTTTTCAATATGGATGCATGTAATTATTTTTACAATAACGTGGAATGTGACTTTAAATGCAAGTAGTGTAAATTATCTAAATTTGAACTGATAACAGGCTCTTGCCACCACATACAGCAGAGCTGAGACTGAGAGTGCAAGAAACAACAGACAGATGGAGCAGAAAGTTGAGCTCATCGGTGTTATACTTTTTACAATGTCCAGTCTAGGAGAGGGATGAGATCTGTAATAATTATTTATCTGCAGCAGAGACAATTAAGGTTTCTTACCCTGCCAGACAAGGCTGTGCTATATGATAGACATGCGTAAATCTCAAGTTTGAATGGACAGAAATACAAACCCTTATACATAAAACATGAATGGAAGACATTTTTTTTGTATATTTAGATGTTTGCCAGAGGTTCACAGCCTTAAGGCTTCATACCTTTAGGTGATCTAAGTGGTAATATATAATTATTAATAATAAAAAAAGTAACTTTCTCTAAAAATGGTAAAGCATATTTAACCACTACACAATCTGGTTTGTAACCCGATGTTAAAATTACTTTTGCTTCTAATTCATACTTGTCTGATGCTGTCAAAATTGTAAATGTCCATACTGTACAATTTAGCAATCTGGGTGTGTTTGCACTGGGAGAGTTCTGGTTGTCTAATTGGCGTTTTTTTATAACACATTATTAGTATTTTGCTCATAGAGAGTATCTTTTAGTAATGATAAATGAAAATATTGTCACTTATGCTTTCTAAACATAGAATCATTTTAACAAAGTAGTTAAAATTTTTCTTTTGGTCATAGACTCTGGTCTTTGTATTAGTAAACTTCCAAGGAATCCTCATAAAGAAGAGGTCATCGGCACAGGAGAGCAAAAGTACAAATATCTAAAAGATGGAGATATGATAACTACTGAGGGAGCTACTCTTAAGTAAGTGAACTGACAGTTACAAGATACGTATTAACTGTTTACGATGCAGAAAGAACAACTACTACTACTACTAGTTCAGAATCTACCCAACAGAAGTTGGGGGGTGTACCGTGACAAGTTGGCACAGACAGCAAAAAAAACATTGTTAGAAATTCTAAACCTTTTGTGTGTTATTCGTTCAGTCGTGCCTGACTCTTGGTGGGCCAAGTCTCTTCACCTTTCCCTATCTTTTACTGCTTCTATTGGTGGTTTCATGTTCTGGCTGGTGTCAGCTTTTATGGTGTCTAACCATTGTGTTCTACGGTAGCCTGGCTTCCTTTTGCCACTAGACAATCCAAGCTTAATTTGCCCTCTGCAGGGAGTTCAGTCTCTTGACATGTCCAAAATAGGTGAGTCCAAATTTTGTAATCTTGCCATCCACTGAAAAATCTGATTATATGTGCTCCAATAATTGTTAATTATCTTTGGTCTCCCTAGAATGCTCAGTTGCCTTCTTCAGCACCATAGCTCAAACAGCTCAATTTTCCTTGTGTCTAAGTTTTCATGCTCCAGTTTTAACAACCATACAGTGAAGGAAATACGTATTTGATTCCCTGCTGATTTTGAATGTTTGCCCATTCACAAAGAAATTATCAGTTTAAAATATGAATGGTAGGTGTATTGTAACACTGAGAGAGAATAGCAACAAAATAATCAAAAGAAATGCATGTCTAACAAATTATGCACTGATGTTCAAATCACTGACCTGCACTATGCAAAAGAAATGGCGAGATGTTTGTGTTCTAATACAAATAGCTTACATACTGTATATATGCACATCAGGTGCTAAAGGCATGTGATTTTCCTTTCCCACAGAGTCCTCTACACACCTGGACATACAGATGATCACATGGCACTGGTGTTATTGGAAGAAAATGCAATTTTCAGTGGGGACTGTATTCTTGGAGAAGGAACAGCGGTGTTTGAGGAGCTGTATGATTACATGAAGTCTTTAGAAAGGCTATTAGATGTCAAGGCTGACAAAATATACCCAGGTATAACATATAGTAGTATAAGTAGCATATCATTTTCTACAGTACAAGTTGGGATATTGATAACTGTGCAGAGTACATGCAGTAAGATTTTTTCATTTACTGAGAAACTTGAAGTTGGTAACTTACTGGATTCTGCGTGTAGCTACTTTCTACATTTTCATGTGGATGCAAAAATATTTCACTCTTAAGTGGACAGCATTCTACACAAGCCTATATTCAATTATTAATGTATGTATATGTAAAGCCTTTTTCTTTAAATTTTGAGCGGGAAAGGGTTAGAATACATTTCGGGTTTTTACTGCTGTCTGTGTTTGCACTGGGGAGGTTCACCCTTTTTGTGTGATGATCATTGTCATCAGGTCTGAAACTGATATGAAATCCAAAATTTGAACAAAAATGAGCTACAAGCAAGCATAGCATTTTATATTATCATGTAGTACACAGTTTACAAATTAGTTTAAGAGCAAACTCAGTAGTATAATCAATACATTAGGAAGTATTCACATAGTAAAACGTTTACAATTTGCAGGTATAATCATCAAGTGTGATAAAAAGAAAAGTAAGAACAGAGAAAAATGAAAAGCTAGGAAAGAAAGCAAGAAAATAGCATGAGTAAGGATAGATCCATCTCCGCAAGAGATGCCCAGAATTCACCCGCATGACCCACACGTCCAAAAGAGAAAAACAGCTATTCGCCCATCAGTCCTTTTATATCTTTCCAAAAATATAAAGCATACCAATTTGACCACAATTTGTGAAACCTGGGAATCATGTCATCAGTCATAGTCAGTGTGCGTTCCTGTTCCTGAATAAAATTAACCTCTCTTATCCAGTCTTGAATCGAGGGGGTATGAGTGGTCTTCCAATGTCTGGGAATTAGGACTTAGCCGCATTCAAAAGGTGCCACACCAAGGATCTCTTGTACGATTTCAACGAGCACTCAGAAATATGCAGGAGACAACATTCAGGAGTTAAGGGCAATGCAGTCTCCGTAATGGAGTAGATCAACTCTCGAACTTCATCCCAGAATGGCTTAAACCATGGACATTGCCACCAGACATGGAACAAGGAGCCCTCAGCTGACTCACAGCTGTCCTGCGTAGCGTACCAACACGTTAATTTGTAGGAGGTTTCTTAAGTCCTACTGCTGATGGAGCATTTGTGAGCAAAAATGCAGGCTTTTCTCCATTGGTAATCGAGAACTCTGCCTGAAAGGCTGATTCCCAACCTAGCCGAAAATTGTCGTGGGTGACAGATTGTTTTGAAGCCATGAATAGGCCAAAGAGGTGGTTTTGTCAATGGGTTTCCCTTTCAGACATAGCATTTCTAGAGTCATAAGAGGTCTAGAGAAGGCTGCCTTCCGTCTGTGGTTAGTCAAGTAATTATGTATTTTAAAATAAGTCCAGTATGGGAGAGAAACCTGACCACAGGTTGAGACAATGAATCGCCAATAGAGATAGATCCGACTCGTGCACCAGATTCACTCCACATTCCAACCCAGGGGGAAACTCGGGATTATCAGCAATGGGGGTGAGGGGGCCTGGAGTGCTAGCAAAACCCTCAACCATCGCAAGGTCATGATACGCATCTAAAGTTGCACCAATTGAGGGATGAGCCATCAGACGCTTAGAGTAAGTACACTTTGGCAACCATGGTGAAAATCTTAAAGGAGCTGAAGAGTTGGAGCTTTCAAGGGAAACCCAGTGTTTATGTATGGAATGACAATTCCAGTCTATAATTCTGGTAATGTGAGTAGCATAAAAATACTTTTTAAAGTCTGGCAACCCCATAACACCGGAATGTTTAGTGCGTGTGATTAGTTGAAATCAAATCCGCGTTTTTTTTATTGGCGAGATTTTCCTAATGTTGGTTTTGTTAAATGTTGGTCTTGTTTCCTGTTATGTCTGTAGGAAATGAAGTGAAGGGCATTTTCACCAATGGGACAAAGACAGCAAAATAATAACTGACAGGGCTTTCAACCTTCCCCTACTCTTTATAAAAAATGAAAGAAAAGTTTTGGTTTTAGACATATGTCAACCTATTTAATGGTCTAGATAAAGGGTAATAGACAGACTGAAATACATAACCTTCCTGGTGGAAATGTTGCTCCTGACACCTTTTTAGTGATGCTCCCATAGCCAAACGCTTAAAGCTTACCACAAACATTGCAATCTGGTTGTACAGTCTCCTTTAGATTTACCAACAAATACATGGCGCAAGTGCCAGTTTGGATACTAATAGATTGGATAGAGTAGGTCCTCCATATTACATAGTTTTGGTAGTTCTAAAGTTGAGTGTACAGAGGTTACATAGTTAGATTGTAATGAGTTCAAATGATCTTCATTCTCAGCAAAGTATATACTGTGCATACAGTATGACTGATTGTCTAGGATTTTGATCTTTGAACCAGGACTGAATATGGAGCAGCATTTTCTCCAGGAAACATTAGTATTTTCTATTAGTATTAGACTATGTATATGATCTAACAATTTAGTGTTGATCGTCATTTGTCCCGCCTTTCTACCTTGTGCAATCCAAGAAAGGTTTGTATTCCTTCAGAAAATGCAAAGCATTCTCTGAATGGCTCCTGTCCCCTGCAGTCGATCTCCTTTGTTCAGAATGCAGCAGGGTGGCCACTCAGTGTGGTACCCGGAAGCAAGTGGAGATCACTGGAGAAGTGGAGTCTACCTCAGTGATTTCCAGCTTTCAGGGGCATTATCCAGGTATGGTATATGCATAGTTACATTGGTCCAGTCTGGACCAATATAAGGCCCCTTTCAAACTAGCGGTACGATATGGTCTGCCTGTCAGTCTTTCAGGGGAACTTTATTGGACCCTCCATTTACCTCTGTGGAGCAGTGGGTGTAAACAGACGTGTCTGTTTTACACCTGCCTATATCCAATCCAAACTGCTAAAAACATGAATAGGAATCCATTCCCCTCCTTCTAGGTGCATCAAATGGCAGGTGTAAATGGACATGAAGATTTTTTACATCTGCCAGCTCTTAGAGGAGAGGGGGCTGTGTCTGTGTCCGCTCTGCCTAAGCAGAGAGGACACAGACCAGCCATCCACTTGCTCAGCAGGGATCAGCAGACAGATCCCCTGCTGAGCAAGTGGACTCCTGACGGAGTCTGCCCTGTGAGAAAGGGTCCTATGTCTAAAATATCAATACCTGAAATTCTTCTTTAATGTTGTATGAATGAACATGGAAATGCATTTATTTGTGCCTTTTTTTATGTTTGCCTAGCCCAGGGGTGGCGAACAAGTTAGACACAAAGAGCCAAAATTTTAAACTGTGAAAGTCAGAGAGCCACACCACGCAGTGACCTGCCAAAACAAAAACACTCACACAAAAACACATAATTAAAACCATATTATTCACCATAACACTTTCTTCCCCTTACAAAACACAGGGAACAGAGACTGCGGACAGCACAGGGATGACCAGAGACTGCGGACAGCACAGGGATGACCAGAGACTGCGGACAGCACAGGGATGACCAGAGACTGCGGACAGCACAGGGATGACCAGAGACTGCGGACAGCACAGGGATGACCAGAGACTGCGGACAGCACAGGAATGACCAGAGACTGCGGACAGTACAGATGACTGCTGACCTTTGGGGAGGTGGGGAGCGGGTACCTGAATTTGACAGGTACCCACTCTTCCGCAGAGTTTTTGTTTGATCTTACCTGTTCCTCGATCCAGCCGCGCGCTGTCTTCCCGGCTTCTGTAATGGCGCTCGGCATGACAGCCGGGTGCCCAGTGCGCATGAGCGAGAAGCACTTGCGCTTTGTGATTGGTCCGGCGGCTTCTGGGATCTGTCGTGTCCCAGGTACCGCCTTACCATTCACAAAAAGCACCGCTTCTTGCGCATACGCACTTGGCACCCGGCTGTCATGCCCAGTGCCCACACTACAGAAGCCGGAAGACAGCGCGCCGCTGGATGGAGGAACAGGTAAGATCAAAGAACAAAGAAGAGAGCGGGTACCTGTCAAATTCAGGTACCCGCTCCCCACCTCCCCAAAGGTCAGCAGTAAGAGGCAAAGAGCCGCATTCATTTTGGCCGGGAGCCGCACGCGGCTCGAGAGCCGTGTGTTCGCCACCCCTGGCCTAGCCCAAGAGTTCAGTTTTCATTCCGTTGCTTTTAAAAAATATATTCTATGCTACATATATACAGTGTAACACTTTACTTCTTATGTCGAATTAGACTTTGCAACATTATTGTTACATAATATTTGGATCACAGATAGACACCATGTTTCTTCACTTGCAGGTCATGGCCCTGTGATTCAAGAGGCAAGAGACAAAATTCGAGAGTATATTACTCACAGACAGGCTCGAGAACAGCAAATTTTGCAGGTTTTGCAAGAGAACTCTGAGAAATCACTGACTGCCACGGAACTTGTTAAAATTGTGTACAAGGTAAGATGATAAAGAACAGCTCTTCTACAGGAAGAAAGGGTTAAATGGTTGTATTAAATGGTATAATGAAAAGTCTAGGTGTGGTTGAATCATTGTACATCTTGCCATGCATGTTAAGTTTCCTCTTCTTCAGCCCCATGCACTAAAGGATAGAAACCAATAAATTTTTCCCATACATGCTAAACAGCATGGAGGAATCTCCCCTCTGCCAACTATTGTATTCTGACAGGTGCTGCTCCTGTGGCCAGAGTACCCGAACAGTGACTGCATCTGATTGGCTGCAGTCACTGTTTAGTCGCAAATTTCTCTCCAGCTCAGTCGATTTTCAGATATAAATAAATAACTAATAAACGTCAGCAGCTACAAATACTGTAGCTGGTGTCTTTTGATAAACATGCACTTACCAGTCTAGGGATCCAGTGCTGTCCTCACCCTGGATGGTTCTTTGCTGGTGTTCGGATCCCCTACATTCCATCTTGGATGTGGAATCCAGCTGGTGCTTCACAGCTGGTTTCTCACTGTGCATGTGCAAGTAGCACTGCACTTTCTCAATAAACTTACAGCCTCCTGAGCCCATGATGTTTCCCAAGAAGTTGCGGGTGTTCTTCGGCTCGGATAACCTCAATGATCCGAGGGAAGTGGGAACAGATACCTATCAAAACTATGTACTCACTCCCTGAAAAACCATTGAAACATCCAAAAGTGGGAGAGGGAGAAGGAGGAAAAGCGGAGATTCTCTTTTTAGGTGAAGTTCTGCTTTTCGAAATTATAAAACATGATAGTAACAGGAAAACCAGCATTTGTAAAATGAAAGGCAACATTGGCAGCAGCCATATTTCCTCAATAGCGGTTTGCTTTATCTCCCCAGTGCTTCTTAGTAATCTAAAAAAAAAATAGCACCCTGCCCCTTCCCCACCCAGTCTCCTTTTTTTCAAGGAGCCAGGCTTTTTATCAGTAGATGTATGCACCAGCTCAGTGAAACCACTAGGGGGCACATTCTGCCTGTGTATGTACAAACAATCTGTCACAAAGCTATTCCTTGCTTGTCAAATATTTTAATATTTTATGTCCGTATGCTGGTCTGTACTTTTTATAAGAAAATGTATAACAAAGCTAACATGTTTCCTTCAGGATACTCCAGAATATTTACATGCAGCTGCAGAAGTCAACCTTACTCATCATCTACAGAAACTAAAGCGGGAAAAAAAGATAGGTGAGTTTAATATTTATTTATGTAGATATTTAGACTCTTTTAGCATAGGGGAATGCAAATTTAGTAGAAGGCTGTTGGTTTGTGCTGTAAAACAGCACAGAGTACAGATACTTCATAATCAGATGATATTGAAGGTGTATACCAGACATTGCTATTGATGTTGCTGCAATACTAATTATTATAATTTGGTCAAAGGAAACATTTTTTTTAATATTGCACATCAGTAATCTATCAGTTCATTTAAAGCCCAGACACAGAAATAGATACCAGAGTTTGATCGCATGTCCCAGTGTCCTTTTGTAATCTAACTGACCTGGTCAGGCACACCCACTCTTGCTCAGGTATTTACAAGGTATTTTAAGCAATTTTTGCTAGAGAATGACATGAATTAGTGGTGATATAACACAACATGTATCTCTGAAAGACTAAGTTTGGTGTATGGAAAGTCCGAAAAGATTGAGCACTTTCAGACACTGGAACAATTGAATTTTAACTTTGATTAGTAACAGGCTGGCCTGTCTCGTGGCAGTTTGGAGCAATTATCTACACATGCTCATGTAGTGAACCTTTAGGCCTCCTGCACACAGGGCATTTTTGCAGTCACTTTTAGGCTAAGTTTACACTATCTTTGTTAGCAGGCGTTAGACAGGCATTTGGGAAGCGTTTTTAATGCTCCTCAAACGCCTATAAATATTCTACACTTGGCAGCACACAGTGCTGTTCACACTGAAGTGTTAGGGTTGCGGCAAAATTGACGCCTCATGTCCAGTCTATGGTGAGGCTCCTCAAACACCTGGCAGCAGTTTGCGAGGCGTTTGCAGAGCGTTAATACCATTAAACTTCATTATAGGTGTTTGTGGTACAGTTTTTAAATGCTTGGCAAATGCCTCAAAAATGCGCATAGGGCGTTTTGGGGAGCATTAAAAATGCTTCCCTAATGCCTGTCAAATGTTATAGGGGCGTTTGGCAAGAGTTAGAAATTAGTCAAGTGTGAACGAGCCCTTAGGGCAGTGGTCGGCAAGCCGCGGCTCGCGAGCCACATGCGGCTCTTTACCCACTCTAATGCGGCTCTTCTGTGTGCCGGGCGCCTGCTCCCCTCCCTCCTCTCGGTCGGCGCTCCCCTGCCTCCTCTCGGTTGGCAGACCCAAAAGTCCGCGCGGACCTTTTAATCCGGCCCGCGGATGTGGCTGTCAGGATGTGTGTAGGCGGGGCAGCGTGCCGAACGTGAGGGGAGGGAGCTAGGCTCCTCTCACAGTCCGCCCTGAAGACCCGAACGGCGCGGGAAGACAGCGAGAGGAACGCAAAAGTAAGTGTAATTGACACGGGGGGACTTGGCTTACTAGAAAAGGGGGGGGGGGAATAGTACTGTGTGGGGATGAAATACTATATGAGGGATGAATTACTATATGAGGGATGAATTACTATATGAGGGATGAATTACTATATGAGGGGGATGAATTACTTTATGAGGGATGAAATACTATATGGGGGATGAAATACTATATGGGGGGATGAAATACTATATGAGGGAAATGAAACTATATGGGGGGATGAAAATACTATATGAGGGATGAATTACTATATGAGGGATGAATTACTATATGAGGGGATGAAATACTATATGAGGGATGAATTACTATATGGGGGGATGAAATACTATATGAGGGATGAAATACTATATGGGGGGGATGAAATACTATATGAGGATGAAATACTATATGGGGGGATGAAATACTATATGAGGGATTACTATATGGGGGGATGAAATACTATATGAGGGATGAAATACTATATGGGGGATGAAATACTATATGAGGGATGAAATACTATATGAGGGATGAATTACTATATGAGGGATGAATTACTATATGGGGGGATGAAATACTATATGAGGGGATGAAATACTATATGGGGGGATGAAATACTATATGAGGGATGAAATACTATATGGGGGGATGAAATACTATATGAGGGATGAAATAATATATGGGGGGATGAAATACTATATGAGGGGATGAAATACTATATGAGGGGATGAATTACTATATGAGGATGAAATACTATATGGGGGGATGAAATACTATATGGGGGGATGAAATACTATATGAGGGATGAAATACTATATGAGGGATGAAATACTATATGAGGGATGAATTACTATATGGGGATGAAATACTATATGAGGGATGAAATACTATATGGGGATGAAATACTATACGGGGATGAAATACTATACGAGGGATGAAATACTATACGGGGGATGAATTGCTATGGGGGGATGAATTACTATATGGGGGATGAATTACTATGGGGGATGAATTACTATATGGGGGATGAATTACTATGGGGGATGAATTACTATATGGGGGATGAATTACTATATGGAGGATGAATTACTATATGGGGGATGAATTACTATGGGGGATGAATTACTATGGGGGATGAATTACTATATGGGGGATGAATTACTATATGGGGGATGAATTACACTGGGGGATGAATTACTATATGGGGGGATGAATTACTATGGGGATGAATTACTATATGGGAGATGTATTTTCAGTTTTAAAAATGTGGCTCTCAAAATAAATTTCAATCATGGTTTTGGCGAGATTTGGCTCAGTTGAAAAAAAAGGTTGCCCACCACTGCCTTAGGGGCATCTTGCTTTTTTTTTTTTTTTCTTTTACTGCTTCCAAATGCCCCTCCATGTTAAGCTTTTAGAGGGAGGGGTGTTTACAAGTATGAATACAAACTCAGGGCCAGTGCATCCAGGAGCGGCAGTGTTTTGGCCGAACAAAAACGCTTCCCGCATGTAAACACGTCTAAACGCATTTATCGTTTGACCGTTATTATTCTGACCAATTAAATGAATTAACACTCAAGTGTATGACTCCTGTAAATTTTTCATAGTTTTTTTTGTTAACATATTGACTGGTGTGGCGGTGATCAGGGATACTGGCTGGTGACAGTATATTTAAAAAATAATAATAATATTTTTTGTTTTACTTTTTTTTTATACAATATTTTTTTTTTTTACATACTGTGACCAGAGCAGTGGAGTGTTAACATTATGACACTGTACTACTCTGGGGAGGTAATCAGGAATTTTTTTTTTGTACAATATGATTGCTGTGCTGATCACTGTTATACACAATCATTTTTTATGAATGGCATCATTCAAATACAGACATTCATTGAGTAGTATTGTGATTAGCTCTGATTGGCCCTTTCTGTACCATATGATCACTGTGACCAATCACAGGGCTCATCACAAAAGTACACAATGAACGGCTATGAATGAAAGGCATGCATTGTATACAAATGTCATGAAACTTGTGACTGGCCACAGCGGTCATATGGTACCTGGACCTGCCTAGTACATGGTACATCGCAATAATCAAACACACACGTGTAATACAAAAGTAAAGAAGATATCCAGAACTGTCTCATAAGTTATGCTGTGGTCCTTACCAATACCCTGGGATCTACCAAGGAAGGTCAGAAAGGGGAGTGACAAGTACCTCCTCGGGCAGGGGTAGGTAATGGAAGGGGGGGGGGTATAGGAAAGTTAAAAAAATGTGGGAGTGGAGAGGGCGGAGGGATAAAATCAACATAATCTCTGAGCACCAGGGAAATGGTAGCAGCAAAATATTAAAGAGAGCTACAGACTAGGGGACACCTACACAACATCCATTATAAGTAGGGAAGCTCCATACTAAACAAACTGTCTACTTCAATGTCCAAGGCTGCCAGAGCTTATCGTTCTTCCATGGACAGCCATGGTTAATTTATGTCAGCTTGTACAGGGGCAGGGCAGCATCAATCATGGCTTCCCAAGACAGTACAGCAGGGAGAGCAGTGAAGGCCAATTTACAGAAAATTTCCTTCTTAGGATAGAATAAAACATAGGATTTCAAAATGTGTGGTGAGGACGTTGAGCATCTTTAGGGATCACAAACAATGCCCACTCTGGAGATTTGGGGATTGTCAATTGAAATCTAAGATTAATCAAATCAGACACTTCAGACCAGAAAACAAAGACCTTAGGACACTCCCAGAATATATGATAATAGGTGCCCAGGTGTAACTAACAACGAGGGTAGTGGGGGTCTTGGGCAGGATAGATTCTATGCAGTCTCTCTAGTATAGTATATTTGATGAAGACATTTAGTCTGAAAAAGCTTATCCCTAGAGGAAACTACAAATTTGAGGCATTGCTCAAGACAGTCCACCCAGTCTTTCTTGTCCAGAAAGGGGATGTCACCTTTCCAAAGATCCCACAACCACTCAAGTTTGGGAGAATCAGTTATGATAAAAAATATTAAGTTAACCAACCCACTCTGATTCTCTGGTATGAAAGGGCTAAAGCGCTAGATTTCAGGTATGCATTGTCACAGATTTTAATGGACTTCTAGTTCCTAAAGTCTGCAATGCTTTTCTTGCCTTCAATGGTCTGACATCCCTCGCTGACATCTTCTACCTGGCTTTGTCTGAGTGCTTCGCTGTGGCTGTGCTCATTGGCTGGCATGAGATGACATCACTCTCTCTCTCTGTTGGGGTCCCCAAGGCTCTGTCCTCGGGCCCCTTCTCTTCTCCATCTACACCTCCTCCCTTGGTCAACTGATACACTCTCACGGCTTCAACTACAATCTCTATGCCGATGACACTCATCTATCTCTCTACCCCCTCGCCTCACCCTTCAGTCTTTGCCAGAATCGCTAGCCTTCTGAACGACATATTGGATTGGATGTCACTCCACTTCCTCAAATTAAGCCTTGCCAAAACCGAGCTCCTAGTTTTCCACCCCCGCCCGTGCCCCCCCCCCCCCCCCCCCCCCGACCTCTCCATCACAACCAACAACGCCACCATCAGCCCCACCCCGCAAGCCAGAGTACTAGGTGTCATTCTAGACTTCAATCTGTCTTTCCAGCCCCAGATCCAATCACTGACAAATTCATGCAGACTCCACCTCCGCAACATCTCCAAAATACGCACGTTCCTATCCCCAGAAACTATAAGCAACTCATTCACTCCCTTATCATCTCCCGACTTGACTACTGTAACTCCCTCCTCACCAGCCTACCCCAACACAGGCTATCCACGCTTCAGTCTATCCTGAATTCTGTGGCCAGACTCATCCACCTTACCAACCACTCTGTATCCACCACCCCCCTCTGCCAATTTCTCCACTGGCTTCCGATTGCCCAATGCGTAAAATTCAAAATATTAACATTGACATACAAAGCTGTTCATAACACTGCCCTAAACTACATCACCGACCTGATATCCATCTACCACCCAAAACGCCCTCTCCAGTTCTCACAAAACCTCCTACTCTCCAGTTCCCTGGTCTCCTCCTTCCATGCCCGTGTCCAGGGCTTCCCCCATCCTCTGGAACTCACTACCCCAATCCATCAGACTGTCGCCTTCCCTCCTCACCTTTAGGCGCACCCTGAAAATCCATCTCTTCAGAGAAGCCTACCCCGCCCTCACCTAATTGCTGATCTCCTCCGCTCTTCCCACCACTCCATCACCCACAGCTATTTCCTCCTGTACCACTCTCCCATCCCTCCTAGATTGTAAGCTCCAAGGAACAGGGCCCTCGAACCCCTCGTGTATTGTATTGTTACTGTACTGTCTCGTGTACTGTCTCCCATTATAATGTACAGCGCTGAGCAAACCGTTAGAGCTATATAAATACTGTATAATAATAACAATAATCACTCCTGCGCATACGCATGTCTTTTCTGCAATAAAGAGCTTGCCTGCTCACAGCCTTTAAAAATACTGCTGGTTCTGCTGTAACCAGTTACCGACTGACTGTAGCCAAAAGACGCATGGCACGCATCAGGCACTCTCTATGATCGCTGTGTCCTTTGGACACAGCTTATCACAGATTAAGGTAAAGGGCTAATCACAGTGACCCTTTACCATGTGATCAGCTGTGTTCAATCTCAGCTGATTACATGTAAACAAATGCCTGTTATCAGCATTTCTTTTCCTCACTGCTCTTACTGTGTGAAGAAAGAGCCGATAGGCTCGATCCTGTCACAGAGCATAACAGGGCTATGATACGCTGATATTCATCAGTGAATCCCATCACTGCCCATCGGTGCAGCTTATTAGTGTCCATCTGTGCAGCCTCATCAGTGCCTCCTCATCAGTGCAGCTTATTAGTGCCCATCAGTGCTGCCTCATCAGTGCAGAAAAACTACTTATTTGCAAAATTTTATAAGAAAAACGTTTTGGTATTTTTTCAAAATTTTTGCTCTTTTTTCACCAAAAGAAAGCTTTATCTTACTCAAAACATGATTAACAATTTCAAATGGGTACAGTGTAGCATGACCACGCAATTGTCATTTAAAGTGCAACAGCGCTGAAAGCTGAAAATTAGTTTGGACAGGAAGGGTGTCAATGTGCCCAGTAGACAAGTTGTTAACAGGGCTATGACCTGCTTTTGACATATGTAAAGGCCTGTGATCTAAATAGCGGCATTCATCCTTTTGCTGCGAAACATATGAGATATGAAATCTTGCTTGAAAAATCCTTCCAATTTATAAGAAATCCTCTTTATCTCTACTTAATGCTCTCAATCCTTCAACCCAATCAGTAATAGCAAGAAAGGTCTGCCCGTATATTGCCAGTAACATGCTGGTGACAGTCATACAATGGTAACAGGAGCTGTAATATACAAATAGACATCCTGTGTTTGCCCAGTGTCTAAGCAATGCAATGAAATGCTACACTACACTTGCCTGGCATACACATAAAGTTAGTGCTCATTAACCTCCATGTAAAAACAAAGAAGTGGCAGATACAGTGGACCAGCTTTATAACTTCACACTCATTTCCACAGATGAAGTTACCTATGGAGTGTATCTGCAACCTCTCTGTTCTTACATGCTGTTAGAAGTAAACAAAGTTAATTTTTGGACGCAGCATTTCTTGAGACATTCTGAGCATTGATTCAGCATCTCCACTATGGATTCTTAGCAAAAGTGATTTTCGTTTTTGTGTAACTTGGGTAGTCATACAATCATTTCTGGCAGGGAAACAAAGGGTGAAACATCTAGATATATAGACTAAATTAAAAAAAAGGTTGTTTAAATCCAGTGCCACTTTCATGTTGATATTTTGTTTCATATAGTCTAGCATAGAAATAAATCCTTTCCCACACATTAAAAAAATAGTTTTGGCTACACTTTAAACACTATCAGATTATTCTAATTTAGATACTTTGCGGATTAGACTGTATTTTGCAGATTTCTGATAAATGGCCATATGTGTTTAATTGCAGTACAAGAACAGGGTCCTACTCTACGGTGGAAAAGTCGCTTGTGATTGTGAACCAAGGAAACTTTTTGTTGAATCTGAATGAGGAATACACTGCATGGGAGGATCAAGGATCACTGAATTAAATGCCTCTCAGCAGAACTATTGATCTTTGCTCCAAATCATTACACTTGCTGATCACTGTCACTTTGTTTCTCTTGGCGGATTGCAGTCTGAAGTCGGTCCAGTCAAGTGTTCCTCAGGGCTCAATCCTGGGTTCCCTACTTTTTAGCATTTACATGTTAACACTTCGCTAACTGCTTAGATCACATACACTCAGATATACAGTGGGGCAAAAAAGTATTTGGTCAGCCACCAATTGTGCAAGTACTCCCACTTAAAAAGATGAGAGAGGCCTGTAATTGGCATCATAGGTAGACCTCAACTATAAGAGACAAAATGAGAAAAAAAAATCCAGACAATCACATTGGCTGATTTGGAAAGAATTTATTTGCAAATTATGGTGGAAAATAAGTATTTGGTCAATATCAAAAGTTCATCTCAATACTTTGTTATATATCCTTTGTTGGCAATGACAGAGGTCAAACGTTTCCTGTAAGTCTTCACAATGTTGGCACACACTGTTGCTGGTATGTTGGCCCATTCCTCCATGCAGATCTCCTCTAGAGCAGTGATGTTTTGGGGCTGTCGCTGGGCAACACGGACTTTCAACTCCCTCCAAAGGTTTTCTATGGGGTTGAGATCTGGAGACTGACTAGGCCACACCAGGACCTTGAAATGCTTCTTACAAAGCCACGCCTTCGTTGCCCGGGTGGTATGTTTGGGATCATTGTCATGTTGGAAGACCCAGCCACGTTTCATCTTCAATGCCCTTGCTGACGGAAGGAGGTTTGCACTCAAAATCTCACGATACATGGCCCCATTCATTCTGTCCTGTACATGGATCAGTCCTCCTGGTCCCTTTGCGGAGAAACAGCCCCAAAACATGATGTTGCCACCCCCATGCTTCACAGTAGGTATGGTGTTCTTTGGATGCAACTCAGCATTCTCTCTCCTCCAAACACGACGAGTTGTGTTTCTACCAAACAGTTCTATTTTGGTTTCATCTGACCATATGACATTCTCCCAATCCTCTTCTGGATCATCCAAACGCTCTCTAGCAAACTTCAGACGGGCCCGGACATTTACTGGCTTAAGCAGGGGGACACGTCTGGCACTGCAGGATCTGAGTCCCAGGCGGCGTAGTGTGTTACTGATGGTAGCCTTTGTTACGTTGGTCCCAGCTCTCTGCAGGTCATTCACTAGGTCCCCCCGTGTGGTCCTGGGATTTTTGCTTACCGTTCTTGTGATCATTTTGACCCCACGGGGTGAGATCTTGCGTGGAGCCCCAGATCAAGGGAGATTATCAGTGGTCTTGTATGTCTTCCATTTTCCAATTATTGCTCCCACCGTTGATTTGTTCACACCAAGCTGCTTGCATATTGCAGATTCAGTCTTCCCAGCCTGGTGCAGGTCTACAATTTTGTTTCTGGTGTCCTTCGACAGCTCTTTGGTATTCCCACAGTGGAGTTTGGATTGTGACTGTTTGAGGTTGTGGACAGGTGTCTTTTATACTGATAACAAGTTCAAACAGGTGCCATTGATACAGGTAATGAGTGCAGGACAGAGGAGCCTGTTAAAGAAGAAGGTACAGGTCTGTGAGAGCCAGAAATCTTGCTTGTTTGTAGGTGACTAAATACTTATTTTCCACCATAATTTGCAAATAAATTCTTTCGAAATCAGCCAATGTGATTGTCTGGATTTTTTTTTTCTCATTTTGTCTCTCATAATTGAGGTCTACCTATGATACCAATTACAGGCCTCTCTCATCTTTTGAAGTGGGAGAACTTGCACAATTGGTGGCTGACTAAATACTTTTTTGCCCCAGTGTACATCCACACTTAACCAGATTACACTTTGGCTTCTTCTCTCCTATCTGTATTTGTAATATAAAAACTTAGATGGCCAACCATTTCCTTCAATTAAACTCTGACAAAACTGAAGTCATGCTTATTGGTACTTCCCATCAATTATGTAAGGTCAATCCTGATAGCCTATCTGTCAATAACAGTGTACTTGAGCTTCAGTCTAAATTGAAAAATGTAGGAGTGATATTTGATGCTAGTTTAAACTTTTAGCCACATGTACAAAATGTTGTCTTTTTTCCACTTGACAAACATTGCTCAGCTGCATCATATGCTCTCATACACTGTAGCTAAAAAGCTGTCCATACATTTGTGTTCTCCCGACTTGACTACTGCAATGCTCTACTCGCTGGTGTACCTAAACCCACTATTAATTGACTACAATATGTACAAAAATTCTGCAGCCAGAATCCTTACTACGTCTGGTACAAAGGACCCTATACTCCTATCCTGGAGTCCTTGCACTGGCTACTCATCAGGTTTCGCATTGACTTTAAGATCCTCTTGCTTGCCCATAAGGCTCTTCATGGTTTGGCACCCCATTATCTGTCTGAACGTTTATCAACTTACTCCCCCTCCGTGATCTCTGTTTCTCAAATTCTGGTCTTCTGTGTGTCCTCCCTACTCTCCTTTACTCGATGGGAGACAGAGCCTTCTCCTGCTATTCTCCAAAACTGGAATTCACTTTCAAAGAACATCAGAGTCATCTTCTCTAAACTCATTCATATCAAATCTAAAAACATTTTTTCTTTAAACAAGCTTTCATGTAATTGTCCCTTACTTTTCCTTTGTTTTTTTTGTGTGTATTTCTTGTGTTTTCCTTGTTAAGCTCTTTTAAGAAGCACCTTTTAAAGGAGCTATATAAAATATAGTTTATTGTTAATATTTGCAGCTGTGTAATTTTATCAATGGTATTTTTTAAATTTGGGTCTCTTTTTAATACTAATATACTGTAAGCATATTTTTGTGGAATTACAAAAAAAATTAAAACATTCATGCAGAGTTATTTATCCTGGAATTTCCTACCTGACGTAACATCGCCCCTGTTTTTCTCTCTTTATTGGTTTCCAAACCTAGCCATCAGTTGGGATGTCCTATTTAAAAGTACTGATCAAATTAAGCATTTTAATCTGGCACTGTGTTAATCCTGTACTGACACAGTGTAGTAAGTTATGGGGTATTGGCATAATTGGTAGGTTTTCAGATACATTTAGGGAGTACATAAGAGTATACATTGTAAATAGTGGCAAGTATTTATGTAGCTGATGTGCAAACAACTCAGTGACATGGTAAATAACTCTTTATGTGATAAAATTCCTGACCAGTTGGGCCTGTGATACGGCAAGTTTGTAAAGCATTGCCTGGCTCTATACAATGGAAATTGCTGTAGAGAATTGTCTTAAAAAACAAACCTGTTTAGTTATGATAGAGAATGTACACATTTGTTACATTTAATTCATCCAACATCACAGCAATCATCGGATCAGCCAATCAGAACCTCTCCAGTGGTAGGCACTGGTATTAACCTGTATATCAAGGGGAAGATCGGACTGCTAGGGATAAGAGGATGGTGGGAGAAAAGACCTGGTGTAGAAAGCACGGGAATGCATGCACATACATGAAATATAACTATTTTACAGACTGTGACACAGAGAAGAAATGCTGAGTATAAAATTAGAACAATATATACTCCTGGCTGCTGCTATTCATGATGTAACAATCATCAATTAAAGCTGACAAATAATGAAACAGTTCTGACCTACTCTAAGGTTAGGTGCACACCTATGCAGTTTGCGTTTGATCCATTTCTTCAGTGCATTTTGCGTTGCGTTTTGCATTTTTGCACGTGCGCTTTGCGGAGGAGGGGGTTCTTGTTGTTAGGCAGATTTAAAACACAAAATGCAGCACTACATGCTTTTCTGCAGTGTTTCCATTGAAGTCTATAGATCCAAAAACACAACTTCTTGTGTTCAAAAAAGTCCCTGACCCTTTTCAAAAAATGCACTGGGTGAAAACGCAGAGATGTGAACATGTCCCATAGGAAATCATGTTAAATGGACTGTAGTGCGTTTCTGCAAAACGCTGTGGAAAATGCTTAGGTGTGAACCTAGGGTAAGATAGTGACTAAAAAAATGTGCAAACCTATCAATACCCTCCCACTGACTCTGTGATCTACTCCAAAACTCCCTAGAAATTAATATTAATATAAAGTGCACTACAATTAACTCCATAATTCAATATTGTGCAAAACAAAACTTTAATACCATCTACCAACCCCAGTTCTACCATATATAAATTAAAAGTGCAATTGCAATAAAAGTGCTGCATAACATAGAAGCCAAAATATTGATGTCATATAACATTCCTTTACATTGTGCAAATAGTGTCCAAATAAAGCACTAAATAATCTGGAATTCTATCATGTCCATTTCATATATTAGACAGTCCACCCGTGCAAAATAAACTTCATAGAGCTTCTTCACACCACCAAACTGTGGTGTTTCACCACCTAATGAATTGAATGAACTCGCCAGAGTGATATGCTGGTCAGATCATAAACCAGCTAAAACACATGTTGCACTGGGAGTAATGCTCTGCAGTGCCCTGATCCTGTTATCTCATACTTCCCCGGATAATAATATCTCTCATTCACTCAAAATGAAAGAATAGGGGAGCTTCTACAGCATAAAATCATCAAATACTTTATTAAATAAAAGCATGTAGAAAAACTCACATTTGCAAGTGTCGACACTGACACAAGTATAAAAGCATAGCCGTGTATCGGTGTGTCCGAGGAACGCAGCGCACCACCACTCGGCACGCGCCTTTGGGGGTGCGCATGCGTGGCTATATGATGTCCTCCCAGAACAAGAGAGCTCCCGCCCGTCTGTCATTTCCCCATATAGCGGGCCGGAGGCAATTAAGGAGGAGCAGGAAGATTTCCATTATGATGCAAGAAGTGGGCAACCAAAAACACAATGAATGGATGCAAATGTGGGTGCAAACTATCATATGAGAATGATGGCAGAAGACTAGCGTGCCTGATTCTAATGGAGGCTTTGGGAATGAGAAAGATTTTCTGCA